TTTTCAAGGAGACCAAGCATTTCACCACACATTTTCAAGGAGACCAAGCATTTCACCACACATTTTCAAGGAGACCAAGCATTTCACCACACATTTTCAAGGAGACCAAGCATTTCACCACACATTTTCAAGGAGACCAAGCATTTCACCACACATTTTCAAGGAGACCAAGCATTTCACCACACATTTTCAAGGAGACCAAGCATTTCACCACACATTTTCAAGGAGGCCAAGCATTTCACCACACATTTTCAAGGAGGCCAAGCATTTCACCACAAACTCTCAAGGAGACCAAGCATTCCACCACACATTTTCAAGGAGACCAAGCATTTCACCACACATTTTCAAGGAGGCCAAGCATTTCACCACACATTTTCAAGGAGACCAAGCATTTTCACCACACATTTTCAAGGAGACCAAGCATTTCACCACAAACTCTCAAGGAGATCAAGTATTTACACATGTTTTCAAGGAGACCAAGCATTTCACCACAAATTTTCAAGGAGGCCAAGCATTTCACCACACATTTTCAAGGAGACCAAGCATTTCACCACAAACTCTCAGAAGACCAAGCATTTACACATGTTTTCAAGGAGACCAAGCATTTCAACACACATTTTCAAGGAGACCAATCATTTCACAACAAATTTTCAAGGAGACCAAGCATTTTCACCACACATTTTCTAGGAGACCAAGCATTTCACCACAAATTTTCAAGGAGACCAAGCATTTTCACTACAAATTTTCAAGGAGACAAAGCTTTTCACCACACATTTTCAAGGAGACAAAGCATTTCACCACACATTTTCAAGGAGACCAAGCATTTCACCACAAACTCTCAAGGAGACCAAGCATTTACACATGTTTTCAAGGAGACCAAGCATTTCACCACACATTTTCAAGGAGACCAAGCATTTCACCACACATTTTCAAGGAGACCAAGCATTTACACTACAAATTTTCTAGGAGACCAAGCATTTCACCACAAATTTTCAAGGAGACCAAGCATTTCACCACACATTTTCAAGGAGACCAAGCATTTCACCACCCATTTTCAAGGAGACCAAGCATTTTCACTACAAATTTTCTAGGAGAACAAGCATTTCACCACACATTTTCAAGGAGACCAAGCATTTTACCACAAATTTTCAAGGAGACCAAGCATTTCACCACACATTTTCAAGGAGACCAAGCATTTCACCACACATTTTCAAGGAGACCAAGCATTTCACCACACATTTTCAAGGAGACCAAGCATTTCACCACACATTTTCAAGGAGACCAAGCATTTCACCACACATTTTCAAGGAGACCAAGCATTTCACCACACATTTTCAAGGAGGCCAAGCATTTCACCACACATTTTCAAGGAGGCCAAGCATTTCACCACAAACTCTCAAGGAGACCAAGCATTCCACCACACATTTTCAAGGAGACCAAGCATTTCACCACACATTTTCAAGGAGGCCAAGCATTTCACCACACATTTTCAAGGAGACCAAGCATTTTCACCACACATTTTCAAGGAGACCAAGCATTTCACCACAAACTCTCAAGGAGATCAAGTATTTACACATGTTTTCAAGGAGACCAAGCATTTCACCACAAATTTTCAAGGAGGCCAAGCATTTCACCACACATTTTCAAGGAGACCAAGCATTTCACCACAAACTCTCAAGGAGACCAAGCATTTACACATGTTTTCAAGGAGACCAAGCATTTCACCACACATTTTCAAGGAGACCAATCATTTCACAACAAATTTTCAAGGAGACCAAGCATTTTCACCACACATTTTCTAGGAGACCAAGCATTTCACCACAAATTTTCAAGGAGACCAAGCATTTTCACTACAAATTTTCAAGGAGACAAAGCTTTTCACCACACATTTTCAAGGAGACAAAGCATTTCACCACACATTTTCAAGGAGACAAAGCATTTCACCACACATTTTCTAGGAGACCAAGCATTTCACCACAAATTTTCAAGGAGACCAAGCATTTTCACTACAAATTTTCAAGGAGACAAAGCTTTTCACCACACATTTTCAAGGAGACAAAGCATTTCACCACACATTTTCAAGGAGACCAAGCATTTCACCACCCATTTTCAAGGAGACCAAGCATTTTCACTACAAATTTTCTAGGAGAACAAGCATTTCACCACACATTTTCAAGGAGACCAAGCATTTTACCACAAATTTTCAAGGAGACCAAGCATTTCACCACACATTTTCAAGGAGACCAAGCATTTCACCACACATTTTCAAGGAGACCAAGCATTTCACCACACATTTTCAAGGAGACCAAGCATTTCACCACACATTTTCAAGGAGACCAAGCATTTCACCACACATTTTCAAGGAGACCAAGCATTTCACCACACATTTTCAAGGAGACCAAGCATTTCACCACACATTTTCAAGGAGGCCAAGCATTTCACCACACATTTTCAAGGAGGCCAAGCATTTCACCACAAACTCTCAAGGAGACCAAGCATTCCACCACACATTTTCAAGGAGACCAAGCATTTCACCACACATTTTCAAGGAGGCCAAGCATTTCACCACACATTTTCAAGGAGACCAAGCATTTTCACCACACATTTTCAAGGAGACCAAGCATTTCACCACAAACTCTCAAGGAGATCAAGTATTTACACATGTTTTCAAGGAGACCAAGCATTTCACCACAAATTTTCAAGGAGGCCAAGCATTTCACCACACATTTTCAAGGAGACCAAGCATTTCACCACAAACTCTCAAGGAGACCAAGCATTTACACATGTTTTCAAGGAGACCAAGCATTTCACCACACATTTTCAAGGAGACCAATCATTTCACAACAAATTTTCAAGGAGACCAAGCATTTTCACCACACATTTTCTAGGAGACCAAGCATTTCACCACAAATTTTCAAGGAGACCAAGCATTTTCACTACAAATTTTCAAGGAGACAAAGCTTTTCACCACACATTTTCAAGGAGACAAAGCATTTCACCACACATTTTCAAGGAGACCAAGCATTTCACCACAAACTCTCAAGGAGACCAAGCATTTACACATGTTTTCAAGGAGACCAAGCATTTCACCACACATTTTCAAGGAGACCAATCATTTCACAACAAATTTTCAAGGAGACCAAGCATTTTCACCACACATTTTCTAGGAGACCAAGCATTTCACCACAAATTTTCAAGGAGACCAAGCATTTTCACTACAAATTTTCAAGGAGACAAAGCTTTTCACCACACATTTTCAAGGAGACAAAGCATTTCACCACACATTTTCAAGGAGACAAAGCATTTCACCACACATTTTCTAGGAGACCAAGCATTTCACCACAAATTTTCAAGGAGACCAAGCATTTTCACTACAAATTTTCAAGGAGACAAAGCTTTTCACCACACATTTTCAAGGAGACAAAGCATTTCACCACACATTTTCAAGGAGACCAAGCATTTCACCACACATTTTCAAGGAGACCAAGCATTTTCACTACAAATTTTCTAGGAGAACAAGCATTTCACCACACATTTTCAAGGAGACCAAGCATTTTACCACAAATTTTCAAGGAGACCAAGCATTTCACCACACATTTTCAAGGAGACCAAGCATTTCACCACACATTTTCAAGGAGACCAAGCATTTCACCACACATTTTCAAGGAGACCAAGCATTTCACCACACATTTTCAAGGAGACCAAGCATTTCACCACACATTTTCAAGGAGACCAAGCATTTCACCACACATTTTCAAGGAGGCCAAGCATTTCACCACACATTTTCAAGGAGGCCAAGCATTTCACCACAAACTCTCAAGGAGACCAAGCATTCCACCACACATTTTCAAGGAGACCAAGCATTTCACCACACATTTTCAAGGAGGCCAAGCATTTCACCACACATTTTCAAGGAGACCAAGCATTTTCACCACACATTTTCAAGGAGACCAAGCATTTCACCACAAACTCTCAAGGAGATCAAGTATTTACACATGTTTTCAAGGAGACCAAGCATTTCACCACAAATTTTCAAGGAGGCCAAGCATTTCACCACACATTTTCAAGGAGACCAAGCATTTCACCACAAACTCTCAAGGAGACCAAGCATTTACACATGTTTTCAAGGAGACCAAGCATTTCACCACACATTTTCAAGGAGACCAATCATTTCACAACAAATTTTCAAGGAGACCAAGCATTTTCACCACACATTTTCTAGGAGACCAAGCATTTCACCACAAATTTTCAAGGAGACCAAGCATTTTCACTACAAATTTTCAAGGAGACAAAGCTTTTCACCACACATTTTCAAGGAGACAAAGCATTTCACCACACATTTTCAAGGAGACCAAGCATTTCACCACAAACTCTCAAGGAGACCAAGCATTTACACATGTTTTCAAGGAGACCAAGCATTTCACCACACATTTTCAAGGAGACCAAGCATTTCACCACAAATTTTCAAGGAGACCCATCATTTTCACTACAAATTTTCTAGGAGAACAAGCATTTCACCACAAATTTTCAAGGAGACCAAGCATTTTACCACAAATTTTCAAGGAGACCAAGCATTTCACCACACATTTTCAAGGAGAACAAGCATTTTACCACAAATTTTCAAGGAGACCAAGCATTTTAACTACAAATTTTCAAGGAGACCAAGCATTTCACCACACATTTTCAAGGACACGAAGAATTTCACCACCCATTTTCAAGGAGACCAAGATTTCACCACAAATTTTCAAGGAGATCAAGCATTTACTCATGTTTCCAAGACCAAAATCACAGAAACTGGGTTCAGTATGTAAAACCTAGTTGGCATCAAGAGGTCTTTACATGAGGTAGAATTTCATGAGAAATCATGAGTGCCAAATAGAGAATTTGGATGCTTATCACTAAAAATGACAGCCAAACAGAACCTGGAGGTTATGAACAATATGATCCAATCCTGATGATTCAGTGAGCTTTAGATCAGATCTAGACCAATAATTTCTTACCTCCTCTGCTTTAGACTTTCAAATTTCCTTCCATCTCCAGTCAAAGACGCACGGTGCCCATGTACACAATAAGATAGTCTTCAGACCTATATTAGCTTTGAAAGGTTTCCGTCTTCGTAATACTATCACTGTGTACTGCTTTCACAACTTGCAGCGCCTTGCAATAAGATTTCTGTTATGAAAGAGTACTGGAATCCTTCTCAAAGAAATCAATGACTTATTTCCAAGTCTTGTGAAATTCTCTATCCTTTGAATGAGTAAATGACAAGCTTTTGAAATTACAAAATTGAATATTCACAAGAAATCCTGTCAAATGAAGATGGCTTCTCACCAAGAAAATTCTTTATAAAGCACAAACTGAATTCTTCTTCAACACTGCAAAACTTTCATGAAATCAACTGAAGCCACAGCACCAAAACATTCACATATTGTCGAAAATGACAACAATTCTACAAATTATCAGTTACCAATGTTTCAAAACCTGAAACAAGTATTGTTAAAAAAGAGAGTAACTTTGATACCATAAATTGTTAGTCCAGAAGTAAAATCAATCAAAATTCAGAAGTAAACTCCAACAGAAGATTCTTCAAAATCCTGCAACCGAATTTTCCAAAATCCAAATAGAAATTTTGCAAAATCTTGTTTTTCAACTCTTCAAAAGTTTGATAAACTCACAAACATAAATCAAACATTGAAGAACACATGAAAACTTCAAATTCTTCTTCAAAGTGTTCAAAAACCAGAAGAGGAATCTTCAAATCTCGTTGATGAATTCTGTGTCCTGTCCCAATATTCTGTATAATGTTTATCCAACGAGAACCTCACTCTGAATAAACCACTAGCTTCCCTTCACGCATAGGCACAGCCTGCAAAAAATGTGGGTGCTTTAATCTCTTATCGCTGCTGGCACTTGGGCCGAGTAGTTAAAGCACCCCCCTCTCCAATAATTCACCTGTCCCCCTCCATTACGGTGTTTACCTAGAAATATACTATTTACATTCAAACAAATGTTGTATACATCTCCAGACCTCAACTGGTTCAAGTAAATCAATTTCTGACAAAAAGATAAGTCTTTATATACTTCGTTCCTATTTTTTATAGTTTGTAATTATCATGTCTATATTAACATTGCCACTAGATATATACAGTTTATGTCCAACCTAAACACAGACAAATCATAAATATATATGTCATTAAACATAGATATGTGTTGTAAGTTTTCTGTTTATTTGTACGTACTAGCTTTGCGGGTATGCTTTAAATAGAAAGAAAAAACAATTCTTAAAAACATGAATTGTTCAACACAAACTAGATCAAATCCAAAATAAACAAAATGTTAAATATCTTTAAGATAAAATTCCATTGACTAACCTATTTTTTTCTTTTCAAGAGATTTCATTTTTATTTAACTTTTAATTTTTTTTACAGCAATGTTCTTCCTGCATGTGACCTTTTTGATCTATAAATTGAATTTTTTTACTATTTTTGAAGACCAGGTGTGAGTATTGGCTTGGGTTTATGTAACTGTTGAGCCTTACCTACCGTATTCGACGTAATAAGCGCCAAGGGCTCTCTCAAAATTAGAAATAGGGGGCTCTTATCAGAATAAAATTTTGGTGAAAAGAAAACAGAGTTGAAAGATCGTAAATTTCGTGGTTTAATATGCTGACAGCCTGAAATGATACAAAAGAAAAGTCTGTGTGTATTATACACGACAGATATAGTTTTCCTAAATTTAAATGCCAATAATTAAGGGTTCATATAACACACAAGTGCATATTATACACGAATAAATAAGTCTTGTGTACATTGATCAATCGAAAGGGGTGCTAATTGGGATTGTTCAATAACCAATATATTAGCAAATATCGCCGTGGGCGCTTATTAGAGCGGAGTGCTTATTACTTCGAATACAGTAATTTAGTTTTGAACAATTATGTCAGAGAATTTTTAAAAGGGTGCAATGAAAAAGCAGGAATTTAGAATTCTAATTAAATATTCTGCTAATGGTTATATAGACCAAATTATTCCCAAAATGTTATACCTTTCATTGAAAAATTAACTTCTACAGATATGCTCCTCAAAACATTACATAATCTTATCCTGCCAATCATATTGAAGAAAATTCAATTTCAAAATGATTCCTTTGAAATTTACACTAATTTAACAAAATTTCATTCCAAATTTCTCACACAGACCAATCACCTTTAAATTTCGTGCAACACATTCTGTAACTACTTGTGATTAATTATCTCGTAACTGAACATCACTGCACTTAATATACTGTATACCAGCATGCCATAATGGTCTTATCAGGCCTACAGCGAAATATACAAACATCAATTGCACCAATGTGCGCAAAGCAAAGATTACGCCTTGCTGTGAGAAATTGGCATCATATTCGTTTATTATGTAATAGCTGCCAAGCAGATAATGATGCTAATCAAATGCAATTTACATGAAATTATGAACAGAAAACTGTCTGGAAGCAAGTATTCCAAGTGTTTATGAAGTCTTGGCTTGTCGATTTCTAAATGCTTTGGTGAATTTTAAAGTCTGGCTATGAACTTTGATCATACCATCTGTCAAACATATTTTCATCATAATGTATAGCAACATAAATTGCCTTCAAGGATTTTTTTCTTTGAAGCTACAGAAGCCATCATTCGATGATTCACTCAATTCTTGCGTACATTAATATCTCTGAATTACTCTCTTGTTGACAGTTATTGCTGAATTCTTTTAATGATTCAGGAAATTGCTCATCGTTTTTCTTACTGTCTCAATGATGCATGACAATACTGATGACAAATGTTCTATTCATGAAATCTTTTCTTTAATCTGAGGAAACTTTCTCGTTTCATAGTTTTAAGTTTCAACAGTTCATAGAAGTATTTTCAAAAGTGAGTGAGTCAGTAAGTGAGTGAGTCAGTCAGTGAGTTGTCTTTAACGCCACTTTTAACAGTATTCCAGTTATATCTCGGCGTGTCAGCTTAATGTGGCAGGAAAGCCGGAAGTGATGCAGGTCTTAGACGTTTACCACTTCGGTGAAACTCAAGAGCACGGGTATGGTGCTGACAAACCTAGAAACATAATCGGGGCGATACGGGATTCAAACCTACAATCACAGGTTTCTGGCGTGCCCAAGGGATGCAACTCTTGACAGCGAATTGCCACGCCTTAGACGACTGGGCCACAGGTGCCCCTATTTTCAAAAGACATTTGACACATTTTATTGAGAAAAATCAAATGGATTAGGCCATCTATGTTGTCTTCTATTACATACATTTCACCCCTGAAGATCCGAATAGGTCTTCAGCAGCTCATGTTTGTTGTAAGAGGTGACTAACAGGATCAGGTGGTCAGGCTAGCTGACTTGGTTGATGTATGTCATCGTATCCCAATTGCATGGATCGATGCTCATGATATCAATCACTGGATTATCTGGTCTAGACTCGATTATTTACAGACCACCATCATATAGCTGGAATATTGCTGAGTGCAGCATTAAACAACAAACAAACATACATTTCATTACATTGTGATATAAATAATGTATATTGTACATTTGTGAATAATGTTTGTGCAGGCTGTATGTCTAGTGTAGAAGTCTACTTATAGCAACACAACAATCATAAATCCCTTCATCAAAACCTTGAACAAAAAACTTTAATTACGTTATCTAAAATGAAATCCAATTTTTACCTACAAATGGTTTCATATACCATACGAACAAAATAACAGAAAAAAATAAAGAAAATTAATCCATAACAACTTAAACAAAACTGTGACAAATCAACGGTGGCTCTAAACCGACTGGGAACAGCACACACTAACATCTGTCAAATTGTTAACTCTTAGCTTCAGGTACAAAAGATCGTCTTACCCCACAAATAAATCCATCTCGAGATGAGGCTACAAAAGAAGGCATATTCTTTCCCCATACTCACTATTCCAGTGCTTCTTGCCCGGTATGGATACGACAGGGGTCTAGGTGCAACTATGAATCGCCCGACATCTTTTGTTTGTCGGAGGCTTCTGTGAAGAGAGCTTGCCAACCAACTGGGCAAACATCATGTTACAAGTCAAATATGTCCTTTTGTGACATCAACAAGCTTTTTTGTACACTTACTGTTATTTTGAGTGGGGAACGAGTCTGAGGATTACGGAGGTCCACTTCGACAGCGGCAGCCGTGAACTGTGAGCTTGTCAATTGCGACCCTCATACTGTAACATTTAAGTGTGACATTTGAAATGGACATCCTTTTGTGATTGCAAATAATGGATTTGCTATTAGGTTTTTTATAAAAAGGATGCAAAGATTGAATTTCATGTTAAATTGTACCAGTGGTAGAATTTAAATGTCAGTAGAAACTTCATTATTCTGTATGAAAGGTTTCTGGGGAAATTTGATAAAGGACAAATTTTAGTGTCAAAGAATCTGAAACAGTCTGAACTTTGGCATGATTACAAAAAAAAGGGTTTTTTTGCAGCTTGAATAAAACTAGTTATGTGACTGCAAAGATCATTTGAAATCATGCCTCCTTGACAATTTCACCCTAATCTTTTATCAAAGATAACATTCATTCCTTACAAACATGTTTACTTATATATATATGCCGGGATACTGATTCCTAACAACTATCAATACATAATAAGACTTTTTGACATGAATACCCTATTATTTGCTGATCTGTACAAATCACATTGTTGATGAGCTGATAAACACGACATATGGGTGGTTGTATATTACAGTGGTTAGATTACACCACTGACAACCAGGATTGCTCGTTCAGTTCACCAAGGAATGTCACAAGGACCTCTACTGATGGTTTTGTCGTTATGTAAAGTGAGAGACAGCAGCTGCAATTAACGTAAACAATGAAAGGTGAAGGTCACATGCTAATTGATGTCTTATCACTGATACACCTTCCAGAATGAATGATAGGACAACATAATTACGACAAGATTTCACCGACTTGCAGATTACGATATTTCTACATAATCACATATTATATATATTTATACACACATGGTGAGGTGATGTGAAATAGGGTTTAAAGGCTGTCGCATTAGAGATTATTGCACTGTTATAGCAACATGTGTATGTATGTGTGTGTGTGTCTTTCTGTCTGTCTGCATTTTCCAGAGGCAAGGGAGTTAACTGACTAAAAAAGTCCAGTTTCCATCCTAGCTGAACTAGGCTGGACAAACAAGTTTATGCATAGCCCTATCAAAATCGCATAACGAAATCGACAACAGGTTTGTTTAACTGCCATGCAGATTTCGGTTGCAAAGCATATGTACTGTCAACTGGGCGTTGACAGATATTTCCCAAATCTTTTCATGTTTGTAATCAAGGTTTGATTTGATGCACTTCGCGAAGCAAGACCTGTTTTATTACAATATAGATCTTGATTATCGACCAGATTGTCTTCACTGGGCGACGGCATGTTATTTGAAGCAAATGTATATGATATGAGGTGGAATCTGATTGGTAAACAGGAGGAACATGAATGGACATAACTTAAAATAGCCACTGGTGGCGCTACCATCGAATCCAGAAATTCCAACCTAAGTTCGGCAAGGGTGAAAAGTGGACTTTTACAGTCAGTTAACTCCCTTGCCTCGGGAAGATGATCTGTCTGTGTAAGTCAGTGTGTAAGTGAGTGTGTGACTACTCATCCAGGCTTATGATGATTTTATAGTGCTTAAGTCCACTGAGATACCATGTTGCACTTTAACATGGATGCTCCACTCAGACACAGCAAACTGACTCT